TGAGATGAAAACATAAGTAAGCATACACAAAATAACTCAGAACTCTATTTTGTCATTTGAAAGTGGTCAGTAGACTAGATGGACTTTACAATATTTTCTAGTCTGACCATACCATGAGTATTACTTTTTTCTTTTGAGAAATTATATTTGAACTAATAGAACAAGATAAAAGATAGCCAGAAGGTACTTTAAAGTAGGTTCACCACCCACTGACACTAAGTCAAATCTGACTCAGAGTCACCCCACATGGTTTAGCATCATTAAAATTGTTGTGTTGATTGCCATTGAATTGAGCATCACTTATAGTGACCCTATGAATGAAAGGCCTGAAGCCTTTCTATAACTATTATCATTTCTCCTACTTCGTAGGGTTTCCAGAGGCATGTGGTTTAGGAAGTGGTGTCACTCCTGCTTCCAAACCTGTCTTAAACTGGGAGCTCCACCAAACACTGTCCACAATGCGTAACCATTATGGCATTTGACACCCCCCGCCCCCATAGCACAAGATTCAGCATCACAGCAAACCTAGATTACCTCTATGAAGCAAATGGACAGAGGAGTGTTGTACAACTTGAAAAAATGTTCCACCAAAATAAAATATCACTAGACCCTCAAGTTCAACCAACTTTTAAATACAAGGGCTCTTGTTTCTCCAAGTTCATAGAGTTTCCAGAGGCATGTGGTTTAGGAAGTGGATGCCATTGTTGCTTCCAAACCTGAATCAATCTGGGAACTCCACCAAACACTGTCCACCTTATGGAGTTTGGCATACGTATGGCACAGTTGTTCCATTATGGCATTTGAGATTCCAGTGGCACAAGGTTCAGTGCCACAGCAAACCCAGATTACCTCAGCACAGCAAACTGACGAGAGTGCTGTATGACTTAGAAAAATGTTCCTCCAAAATATAGTAACAAGGGATTAAAATATAATTCTCAGGTCCAACTTTTATATATAGGGGCCCTCCAGAAGGTCTTGTTGACTCTAAACAAGAGGCTTAAATAAGAAAACAACCACACAATCCACATCTATCCTCCACCAAAACAAGAGCACCATCGTACAGAGTCCAGCCACTTCACCCAGCTCTAAAATGAAGGCAAGGACCTGGTGATATATGTTGTTGTTTTTGTTGTTACGTGTCATTGAGTGCTCATTATTTTTTACCAAAAGAATCCTTAAGATTTAGAAAATAAATCAATTTAGAAAAGAATGAAAATTGATGACAATGTTCCCTTTCATTGAGTTAGTTGGAAAAGTTTCATATAGAAAGCAATGAGTCCTGCACTTTCAAAAGGTGTTTTATCCAGTTCCCTTTTATTTTGCCATATATGCTCTGTGGCATGTGTGGAAGTGGCCACCAGCCTAGCTCAGCCTGGAAGCAGGGCTAGAGGACAGGCGTTCTCAAGAGTTTCCCAGATCTCAGACTCACTAAACACAAGTGGAGTTGAAGGAACTGAGCAACATATCTGATGATCTCCTCCTTCCCTGCTATATGTGCTTCACAGCTTCAAACGCTGTGCTACCAGATGCCATTGCACGCACTTGCCATGAATCAACCCTCCCCCAAACCCATGACTGAGATGTTCGCATGCTCTCTTCTAAAGTCAAAAGTAAACGTGATTGGCCTTCTGCTAGTCTAGAAACTGCTCTGGGCCTTATTCGGTTTCAGTTAGTAATAGGTATTGGTAACATGAATGAAGTTAAAAAGTACAGAATTTACATAATTTCTAATTGAATTATTTTAATCATTCAATTACCATAAATTTACAGAGAGGCACATCAAATAGCCCAAGGACTCTGTAATTCTGTACTTCCAAAGTTACAGTATTTATAGAGAAAAAAGAAAACATGACTCACAAATAGCCATAAGTAGGGGTTGGGAATGGAGAGATCAAAAGTTAATTGAAGTTAAACTTCAAAATACTGTCACTGAGAAGAAAAAGAAGCCAATGTGTCACTGCAATATATTAAGGACAGTGGGGAACAGATGGGAAAAATTCTTATACCAAATTTATAACCTTGTTGTCATTTGCCATTGGGTCAGACAGATCTAATTCATGGCAAGATAAATACAATGTAGAGAAATATTGCCCCATTGTGCACTATATTTATGATTGTTAGTATGTTTGAGTCAATTATTATGGCCATTGTATCTTGAGTGTCTTCTAGTTGAAAAGATGTAGCTTCTGGTATTTTTGTTGTTATGTGCTATTGAGTCACCTGTGACTCATAGCAACCCTATGTACAACAGCCCTATACCCTACTCTATCCTGAGCCAAACATACTGGCTCTGACATTACTACCCCCATGACCCCAGTCACTGAATCAATCCATCTCATTGAGTGTCTTACTCTCCTGTGCTGTCCCTCTACCCTCCCAAGCATGATGTCCCTTTCCAAGGACTGGTCCCTCCTTGCAACATACCCAAAGTATGTCAGACAAAGCTTCAGAATCGAAGGTGATATTCTGGTGACTAATTAGCTAATTTTTACAAGTAGATCCAGGCTTTTCTTCCTAGTCGATCTACTTAAATCTGTCCAATCCATTTCATGTTGATGAGGAAATTAGCTAGTATTTGAAATATGGTGGCATCGTTCCCAGCATCACAGCACTGTGAAAGCCACCATGGTATGTCATATTGACAGATGAGTGTTGGAGTTAGACTCTAAGATTATCTTACTCAGATTTGGTTGCGCAGCATGAGGAGTGGGGTGGAGGGAAAGCTGGAGAGAAGTAAAATGAACAATGAGAAAAGTTACAAGTTTAAAAAAAATTCTAATTTGAGAAAAAGACATAAGAGTAGTCTTAATTGGAACATTAAAGAGTAGCATCAGGAGTGTTCACAAGAGAAATTGTTTCTCTTAGATTTTAGACTTTGGCTGGTAGCCTCTGTAATAACTAAAAAAGTTCTATATGTCACTGGATTTAGTTGGGTAACTAACTTCTCAGTAATTGAAGGATGTGATTCTCCTACTGCCAATGAAATAACTTTTGCTTTGTTTGACCTATAGCTCTGCACTTTGTTCTGAATCCTTTCTTTCTTAGTCATTGCTGTAGAATCAAAACTGACCCATAGTTTACCCTTCATTGGGTCCCCAAGGCTGTAAATCACACAGGAAGAGAATACTTATCTTTCTCTCACAGAACTGCTGGTGGATTTAAACCACTGAAGATCAGGCTCATCTTTTGGGTTATCAACCAACTCCCTGTGGACTAGGCCACAAATGTCCTCCCTTGTTGTTATATTCTGTCAAGTCAACTATGACTCATAGCTTAGTGAACAATGGGCCTGAACTTTACCCTATCCTGAACCAACCTTACCTGCTCTGACATGCCTGACCTCATTGCCACAGTCATTGCGTCAATTCATCTCATCTAGGGTCTTCTCTCCTATACTGACCCTTCAGCCTTCCAAGCATGATGTCTTTCTCCAAGAACTTGCCCCTACTGACAACATATGCAAAGTATATGAGAGGTAGCTTCAAAATCCTTGCCTCCAAGGAACAACCTGGTTTTAATCTCTCTAAGACAGACCGATTTGTTTTCTTGGTAGTTTACAGTATGTTCAATACTCTTTCCATAATACATAACTTAAAGGCATAGTTGCTTCTTCTGTCATCCTTATTCATTGTCTAGCTCTTAGATGCATAACAACCAACTGCAAAGACCATGGCCTGCATCAGACACACATTCATCTCTACACTGACATTGCTAATCTTTAGCACTCTGGAGAGGTCCTGGACAGCAGATTTTCCTAGTACACCTCATCTTTGGAATTCCCGACTGCTTTTCTCCCTTAGTCACCCCTTTTTAGAGTCTGAGTTATAGGCAGGGTCTTAGCTTTGAGTATTAATATCTTTGTGGCCAAAGACTCAAGTGTTGTAGAGCTGGTGAAGCTTCCTGACTTGTGAAGAGATTCTCAGGGAACTTTGTTCTTTCAGGAAGAGAAGAAGCACAATGAACATATAGATACTTTATTCCTGTTTAAGTCTCATTTCCCCCCATTATTTCAGAAATTTTTTTTACTGGGATAAAATTGATATAAAATTTTCACCCTGTCAAAGCAGTTTTTAGTATATTTACAATCTAGTTCTAGAGTATTGTGGCTATTTCATTCTAGAAACACTCAGAGTGTAGCCTGAGAGCTCCTTGGAGGTGAAAATGACAACACTTCATCTCACGTACTTTGGGCATGCTGTTAGAAAAGGCTGTTCCTTGGAGATAGAAATGATACTTGGAAAGACAGAGGGTGAGTGAAAGAGAGGAAGACCCTCAACCAGATGGATTGACACAGTGACTGTAGCAATGAGCTCAAGTATGTTTGAAATAATGATGGCACAGGATAGAATAGTGTTCAGCTCTGCTGTTCATAGGGTTGCCATGAGTTGTACTTGACTTGATGGCACTTAACAACAGCATTTTCAGAACACTTTCTTTACAAAAAAGGGAAGCCCTAAATGCATTAGGAATCATGCTCCATTCTCATCCATCCCTTAACCCCTTGCAAACGCTAATTTATGTCCTGTTTCTGTGGACTTAACCTATTCTAGACATTTTCTAGCTCTATTCAGATCACTTGTCCATTTTAAATTATTTATCTTTGTATTGTTTGGTTGTGTTTTTAATGTGTTATATATTTACGCTTTCTTCTCATCCTCATCTGGAGTCTTCTCCACCTCCCCGTGGCAGAATTTCCCCGCCCACTTGGTATGACCAGGCCAAAGCCAATCTCCAATGGTGTATTACTCCAATGGCTATTATGACTGAGGAAGTACTTGGAGTGGGGGAGTCGTTTGAGGTCTGACTTGCTCGTTCCTATTAAAGGCTGTCTTTGGGGGCTTGTTTCCTCCTGGATTCTCCTGAGTGACCCAGCTATGATTTTCTTGCAGATCATCAAGGTGGCTTTGGAGAAAAGTCTAGCAGCTGTGGAAACCCAGAACATATCTCTTCCTCCTCCTTCTCCAGTAGGAGAGGACTGTCACAGAGGTCTTCAGGAGGAGATGCTCCACCTGAGGGCAGAGATACACCAGCATTTAGAGGAGAAAAGAAAAGCTGAGGGGGAACTGAAGGAGCTAAAGGCTCAAATTGAGGAAGCAGGATTCTCCTCTGTGTCTCATATCAGGTAGGGCATCCTCCCGGTGGAAGGGAGACTTCCAGCTCAAGGCTGAGGTCAATATAACTGAGGGCCTCACCATGCTGTTGCCAAGGCTTTCATGGTGCTGTTTTTCTTAGTCCTTATCTCAGGTCTATCGGTTTGAGAAATTCTTTAGACAAAATTTAATAATGGATCATAGTAATTTCTTTTGTTTTTGAAGTAAATTGGATTTAAATTCAATATAACAATGGGTGCCATTTGCCAAGTACATCACATTCATGGGTAGAAAACTTCTAGTTGTATATGCAGTATGCCTCTTTTATTAAATTTATGTCATACAGTGAATATATGTAGATAGATACAGATATACATAGATAAGCTTTTATACAATAACGTTTGTCACTGAAATATTTATCACATGTAAAATTCAATGACATTTATTATTTTCATCACGTTGTCCAACAGGCACCACTAACCCTTTCCACATTTTCCATCTAACTTATGCCTGGAGATGCTATACATTTGGTCTCTGTATGTTTTTAATTTGACACACACACACACACACACACACACACACACACACATATTACCATGTGGAATAGAGGTGGGGTTTTACAGTGTCCTTTTATGACTGACTTATTTTACTCGTGTTCTTAATTTTCTAGGGATGCTATAATAAAAAATATCACAAACTTAAGACTTTGAAAAACTAAATTTTGTCCTCCATCACAATTTAGAAGACTAGAAATCTGTATTGAGGACAGCATCTCTAGGGGCAGGTTTTCTCTCTTTCTTGGTTCTGGAGGAAGGTCCTTGTCTCTGAACCTCTGCTCCTGGGAGGTTTTCATGTGGCTGGGACACATCTTCCCTCATTTCTCCTTATGCTCACTTTAAAAAAAACAACCCTTTTATTTTGTGTGTCTGTACCATCAAATCAGATGACTGGTACAGGAGGAGATTACCCTCCCTTCTCGAGGAGAGCTCCTTGTGAATTCGAACCGTGTACCTCTGGGATTACAGTGCAGCTTCTTGCCACTAGGACTGCTCACTTTTTTACTCCTTTTTGTATCTCAAAAGAAATTGACTCAGGATACACCTACACTATTTCTGCCTCATTAACCTAATAAAGACAACCCATTCCCAAATGGGATTAAACCAAAAGCAGAGAGGGTACAATTTATAATATATATTTTGGGGACATAATTCTAACTGTAACAATTATCACAATGTTTTCAATATTTTCAGTTTTTCCATATTGTAGCATGTATCAAGATTTTCTTTCTCTTTATGACAAAGTAACACTCCATTGAAGATATATTTACCACATCTTTTTTATTAAAAAAAGATGTGGTAAATATATCATTTGCTGATAAACATTTGGGTTCTTTCCAGTTTTTGGCCATTGGGAAGAGTACAGCAATGAACACTGATGTACAAATTATCTGGCTTTGTTCTTCTTTCAAGGCTTTTGAGTATATGACTAAGACTGGAATTGTGAGCTCATATGATAACTCTATTTTTAATTTTTCTAAGAATCACTAAGTTGTTTTCTGTATAGCAGTTGAGGCATCCCCTTTTTGGTAAAAGAGACCATTAGAAAGAACTTTTTCATAAAAACCAAACCTTGATCCCTGACCATGTATTTCTTACAGGAACACCATGCTGAGCCTTTGCCTTGAAAACGCAGAATTGAAAGAGCAAATGGGAGAAGCAATGTCTGATGGATGGGAGATTGAGGAGGACAAGGAAAAGGGCGAGGTGGTGGTGGAAACTGTGGTAGCCAAAAGGGGTCTGAATGAGAATAGCCTTCAGGCTGAATTCCGAAAGCTCCAGGGGAAACTGAGGAAGGCCCTCAGCTTTATCAACCTCCTCAATGAGCAGCTGGTGTTGAGCAGCAAAGAAGGGAATAGTCAGCTTACTCCAGAGTTCCTGGTGCACCTGGCCAAGGAAATTGACAGAATGAACACAGAACTGGTTTGGTCTTCTGGAAAGCACCAACACCAAGAGGAAGAGGTGATCATGAAGACTGGGGCCAGACCTCAGAGTCTTGACCTTGGGGCTGCGCTCTCAGTGGATACCCACCAGGTAAGTGTGGGCTTACCTGAAAGGAAAGACACTTGGAGAAGAGTGGGAGATGCCACTGACCTTAAACAATTCTGTAGATCAGGAAAGGATGGATGAAGGAGGTCTTTGCACTAAATGCATTACAAATAATAACATTCATCACACTTTCAGGCCTTTCCAGAGGCTCTTAGATTGCCTCATAAATATTCTTTGAGTGAATAATTTTCCAGAGAACATTCTAGACAGTGTGTGACAGTGGGCAACAAGACTTAGTCTCTGCCCTTCTTGGAGGGAGTTTGGCAGAGAAACAAATCACCCCAGCCTGGTGGTATAAGTCCCAGAATATATGGATTTGTCAGGTTCTAAGATAACCCACATGAATGGTATGTAATGCTTATCACTGCTATTTTCAACATAGCTCACCGTGACCTTTCCCTGGGCCAGAGAAGGTACCCATTGACAGAAAGGCTTTGCTGAGAATTCAGTAAGATGGATAATAATAAAAGATTCTTAAAGGACGGCTCGGAGAGGAGGACATGGAGAGATGAGTGGAAGTTGTCACCACTTCTCTTTAAACCTGTACTGAAGGTCCTCAACAGGCCTTTTTACTGTGCTAGATGCTAAGAATCCAGAGAGGGAGGAGGGGGAAAAGGCATGATCCTAATTCTCCTGGAGCTCTGTCTAGGCAGCAGATAACTACCAAATGGCCCGGGGAGTGCAGTGCTAGGAATAAGACTAAGGGACACAGGATTCAGCGAGGGAAGAGAATTACTTACTGTGGGTGGGAAGACTTGAGTGACTGTCTTGATGCCTGTGCTGGCTCCTCTCACAGATGGATAACCTATCCCAAGCCAGTGACCTTGGACCTCAGTCAGGATTTAGCCTCACAGGATCCACCAAGCGACTGCGCTCACAGCTGGCACAATGCAAACAACACTACCAAGATCTGCAGGAGAAGCTACTGATATCAGAAGCCACAGTCTTTGCCCAAGCCAACCAGCTGGAGAAATACCGAGTCATGCTTAGTAAGTCTTACAGTTCCACCATCAACAAAGCCTATCTTCTACCTGAGAAGGTACAAGTTTTGCCAATTTCTCTTTTCTTCCCCCACTTCGAAATGTAGTCCACAGTCCACAGTCCTAGAGTTGTAAAGGTATGTTTTACTTTTTGAAGAGTAAAGGACTAACAGGATTTTAAGTTTATAGAAAGGAGCATAGCAGGAAATTAAGCTAAAAAAGCCAAGTTTATAATTTCTGGTCTAGTCTATAAACTACCTTGCCTCTCTAAAGATGCACTAATCATTTCCCTTCTCTTTGCACTACATCAGAGTCTACAAAAGCAGAGAAAGGAGGAAAATTAGTAAATAGATAATAGGCCTTTATGAGGATGAGTGAAAGGAGGAGACAGTATACAACAAGGGATTGATAAGGCATTGTGGGAATTGTAACCAATGTTATTAAACAAAATGTACTTGAACGATTGAATGAAAAACTAATATACTGTAAACTTCCACTCAAATCACAACTAAAACTAAGGTCAACAGATCACCATTCTTGGTCTAGAATAAGTGCTGTGAAATAGAACTTGACCACATTGGGAGTATTTCCTATCAATGTCATAAACAGCTGTTGAGCACTTAAAATGTGTGCAACTTGGGAATTTTGAGTTTTATTAACTTTAAATTAATTTAGTATAAAATAGCCACACATGACTAATAGCTCTCTTATTGATCAGTGCATGTCTGGGAGGCTTACTTAGCTCAATTAAAACAATTCTTTAGCCCTTGAGGATAAATAATTTGTGTTTCTAAGTATGACAGCATGTAATACTGACTTTAAGATGTCTCGTCCTGATGAGTCTTAGGTTATCTATAAGTAAAGTCATTAATGATAAACATAATGGTAAACATTAATGATAAACACCTCCTGGTGGAGGGGAGTCTTGTTATCTGGAGAAGGTGGTCTTTTACACTTGTAAGTCCAAAGAAGCATCTATCCCACCTTGGATTAGACCTTCCCTGCCTCTCAGTGTCCTGTGACGTGTCCCTAGGTTGAAGGTGTTTGCTGGAAGTTTAGATACTCTGTAACTCACTGTGTCTCTCCTCAAGCAGGTGAACCCGTGGTGAAACAGGACAGCAAGCAGGTCCAGGTGGACCTACAGGATCTGGGCTATGAGACGTGTGGCCGTAGTGAGAACGAGGCTGAGCGAGAGGAAACCACCAGTCCTGGTAAAGGCACCAAGTGTGGGGTTCACAACTTGGAGTCAGTGTTCACCTTTGGGTACATTCGGTCAATTTCACAGCTGATGAGCAATGGGAGAGAGAGAGTGTTGTGAATGAAGGGAACTCAGGACTAGAAAAAACAGGAAGTTTGAAGGCGAACTTTTCCAAAATGTCCAAAATTGTTGCCATTGCTTTTTATAAAGAAAAAAAAAATCGATATTTTAACAAAAGTTTACAAAAAACTTGGATTTCATTCATTGGATTTCAACTCATTCATTGTTGCACATATTCCTTCCTACCCTCTCCTCAGTTCACTTTTCTCTTTAAAAAGATTCTTTGTTGCATAATTTTCTCCTTCTTCCTCACCCCTGCCCCTAAGTCCATTTTGCTATACACCTCTTATTCTGGACTGTTGTCATGCAAATACCTAATCATATATTTCTTATAGATAATTCTTTCCCTCATTTATTTAAATGCAGTATTCACTATTTAGCCCCGCTTTTCTTAGTACACCCCAATGTCCATGTCAATCTTGTTTTATAACAGTGGCATTATGCAGCATTTGTCTTTTTGTGACAGATATTTCACTCAGCACAGTGTCCTCCATAATCACCCATTTTTTTTTCAATTGAAACTAATGTTTTTCTTTTATTTTGAGTCTAGTCTTTTTTTTTTAAAGGGTTTCCACTCATTCATTATTGCAGTTTTCTCCCTGCCAACCTCCTCCCCCCAATTCACTCTTCTCCTTGAAAAGTAAAATAAAGACTCTTTCATTGCTATGCAATCCCTCCTCTCAAGTCCACTGCATTGTGCAGTCTTCATTCTGGACTCCTAACATGACAATAATACCTAATCATATATCCTTTTAAACAGTTCTCTCCCTCATCTCTTGTAATGCAGTATACATCATTCCTCCCCTTTTCCTCTGTCTTCCCTGAACCCCAGTGTCAGTCCTGTTTTACAATATTGGTCCTATGCAATATTTGTCCTTTTGTGATTGAGGTATTTCACTCAGCATAATGTCCTCTAGGATTATCCACTTAGCATAGTAATTCATGAGTTCCTTGGTTTTCAGTGCCACATTCCATTGTGTATTCCACTGTGTGAATATACCACAGCTTTTCTAACACTTCATTTGATGGTCACTTGGGTTGCTTCCATCTCTTTGCTATTGTGAACAATACAGCAATAAACATGGGTGGCAGTTCTGGTTTCTGTAGGTTATATTCCCATTAGTGGAATTTCTGGGTCAAATGATATTTCTATTTCTAACTTTTTGAGAGACCTCTAAGCTGCCTTCCAGGGTGGTTGTACCATTTTACACTCCCACCAACACTGAACCAGTACCATGCTGTCTTAACCAGCATGGCAGTGTAGTAGGATTTGAGATCAGGAAGTGAGATGCCCCCTTGTTTCTCTCTTTTTTTTTGCTTATTCAGGATCTCTTTTCATTCCAGATGAAATTGGGAATTGCCTTTTCCATCTCATTGAAGAAAGAAATTGATATTTGTATTGGAATTACATTGAACTTATAGATAGCCTTTGGTAGAATTGTTGAGTTTTCCTATTCAGTATTGAGTCTTCCAATCCAAGAGCATGGTATATTCTTCCATTTCCCCAGGTCTCTTTTTAATTCTTGTAATAATGTTTTGTCATTTTCTTTGAATAGGTCTTTTGTGTTTCTAGTTAGATTTACTCCCAAGTATTTAGTCTTGTGATTAACTATTGTGATGGGTATTGTTTTTCTTAGTTCTGGTTCTATATTCTCTTTGTTACTGTAGAGAAATCCAACTGATTTTTGTATGTTGATCTTATATCTTGCCACTTTGCTGAATTTGTTGACTATGTCCAGTAGTTTTCTTGCTGAGTCTTTAGGGTTTTCTAAGTATACTATCATATCATCGGCATATAGAGAAAATTTTACCTTCTCTTTGCTGATTTGGATATCTTTTATTTCCTTCTCTTATTGGTGTCACTAAGACAGCTGTGGGTCAGTTTCAACTCAATGGTACAGAAAAACAACTTTTTTAAAAAATCTTAAATTGTTTTCGACACAATAGTTAATTTACATTGTGTTTAAGTTCTGTACATTATGCTTTTTTTTCCTTTTTTTCCCCTTGTCTTTTTTTTAATTATTAAATTTTATTAGTTTTAATGAACATTTACAGAGATTTTGGGTTTCCCTTGATTCATTGTTGCACTGTTTTCTCCACCCTCCTCCCCAGTTTGTTCTTCTTTTTTCCCCACGTGTCTGTTTTAATTGTCCAATTGCCACAGTGCTTGTCAAAGCCAGTTCTGATTAATCTCCTTTGTGAGTGTGTCCCTTGCCATTCCCTATCACTCCTCCCTGAGAGAGACTTCACCCTGATTCATAAGGAAAAGGGATGGCGTATTCTCTTAGCTACTTCCTGCTGAAAAGGGACGCTGTGGGTTTCAGGGTGAAGGTCTTCTCTCACTACTCTAAAGGGCCCCTTTGGCAGTAGGAAACACATAGACTATTATGGAGATTGATTTTGGAATTTAGATGCATTGTTATCATTTGTGCTTAGCCGTACATGTTCATATCCTTGAAGATGTATCATGGAAGTGTTGCAACCTAGAAGATACAACTTTAACTAACAAATTAAAAGTGCATGAGTCAAAAATTGAAAAGCAATAATATTCTGAGAAGAGGTTCTAATATGAACATTATGCTTTTTTAAATAATCTTTCATTTACATTTAATTTTATATAATTATTTACTGTTGATTATTATCCTGTTTTGTAGTGTCCCCATTGAATCTTTCCTAATCCTTAACCCTCTCCCCCCAGTTCACCCACTAAACTCTTCTATCTTACTGATTTCCATCCTTTGCCTTTTTCTGCTTCCTTCCTCATTTTCCCTTCTCCTTTTGGACCTTTATACACATCTTCCTAATTATCCTTCTATTTTACAATAATGGTCTTATGACTGGCTTCGACAAGCACTGTGGCAATTGGACAATTAAAACAGACATTCGGCGGGGGGGAGAAGAACGAACTGGGGAGGAGGGTAGAGAAAACAGTGCAACAATGAATGAATGAAAACCCAAAATCTCTGTAAAT